TCGTGAGATTAAATAGCGTCGTGAAAAATAGTTATTGTGACAGGTAATTTGGGTGACTATAGTCCAGATGTTCCACAAGTTTGTTAAACCAATTTTGAGACTAGTTAATGACTATCAGAATTTCGACAGGATCTCAAATTTAACGCTTATTTCAATTTCGTCACGAATACAAATAGAAGATCAATATGAAACTGAAAATGAACATTTATTGAGGCAAACCTTGTGCCAACAAACTAAAAGTGAAAGCTTTCACCATCTTGGGTCGGAAATGGAAGGGCGACCGTCCTAAGAAGCCAGTCACCGCTGCCTTTATAAGCCCGGTTAGTTCAGGAATGTTCCGAATCAGAATACTCGATTACAGCCGTGAATGAGATGGAACTTTTTCAGAAGAGTATAGAATTATCGAAGAAAAACCATGGCCAAAAGAGGGGGAGGGGTTCGAATCCAGGTTTTCCACGTGTCCAGGGTCAAAAGTACCCGTTCATATCTTTTATCCCCGTATTAACAACCGATTATGCTGTTGTGGGACTTATTAAACGCACGCTGAGCTCCCAAATACATACTTAAGGTGAGTGGATGGGACGGATATGTTAAAAAAAAAAATTATTTACCCCCCCCTACCCCCCCCCCCCCCCCCCCTCTAAAGAAATATGTGTGTAGAATTGACGGCACAAGACTCGTTTGAATGATTCCGAAGAATGCTTTTATTTCGGGATCGACGTCTCAAAATATGATCATGTCTCTTTACTCAAAATGTGTCCTGCCTCCTCACACAAAATCATGTCTCCTCTTTTAAAATGTGTCTTGCGAAGTCATAGGGAGTTTTAGTATATCGTTCCAATTACTCCGAAAACATACCCGATAGCCGCCGACGCTTTTGAACATTCATCGTATTGTTATCGGATATTGTTATCCGCAAGAATCGACTAAAACTCTCTAATAATAAACCCTTTTTATAAAGTACGCGCCCTCTAGTACTTGGCGTGTCAATTATCTGAGTCCGCAATTGTGTGGCACATACTCTGAATACTTACTGGTCACGAGGACTCTGTCAGCGTTCGGCGTGAACACGGCTGAGCTTCTATGGAGGACGAATACTGCATCAGTGTTCGATGAGGGCTCGGATTTAATCGGGCGCTTCCAAGGTTACTAGAGCACTCAGTTAGGAAACTCACCGTTGAAACCTGGGCCGCTGGCGCCCACTCAGACCGAGCTTAATACGACAACAGCGCCACTTTTTACCCTTTGTCTTTACTGTGGTCACCTTGAACTTTTAGAAAGAAGGTTTTTGCGTGAAAACCAACCAAAAAAAAACTCTTTCGTAATAACTTTTATTGGAGTTTAGCACAAAACGAAGGGCGCGTGATGTTTTCTATAATCTTTAGTTTTCAAGGTTTTGCGGCAGAATTAATATTGTTTTTATAGAACCATGCCTCAGCGGTGATTTCAAGTAGCGCGTCCCGACCTAGGCGCATCCTAACTTCGGTTGTAATTCGCGGCGTGTCCGCTTGGAAGAGGGAAGTGGCACGACCCCAAGTTCTCAAGGTTATTACACGAGCGCATTAATGACTAAACAGAAGCCCCAAATAGGAGTGTTTTGGTTACATTCCATACAACAGTAGCATTCGCACCACGCCCGCGCATCGCTTCTTGATCTACCTTACTCACACCACTTGATAGCGAAATTTTTTTATAATAAGTTTATCATGCAACTGTTCATAACTACCATCGCAACAAAGTAGGAAGCCATGTTACTGATTTTACTTAGAAACCACTATTTTTGCGGACTTATCTACCGATGGCTACTCTGCAAATTTCAAACGCAGACTTACTTTTTTTTTTAATGTGGGTTCACGCTGCCGCAGAAATAACTCACGCATTTTTTTTTCTGACACCATAAAAAGCTAAACTCCGAAAGTATTCTCCTTGAAACACAAACTATTTCGTGACAGTGGTTCTAGACGCTATAACTTTAATCTATGTGTGTGGTTGCTTTGTACGTTTTTTATACTCGGCCCAAAATATCTGTCTAGTAGAAAGATTATCTACTGTATATAAGAATAGACACTGAAAGACAACGGGGAAATCGGAGCGTGTGGTGATGTCAGAGCGCAGAACTCTGGCTGGAACAATAGCAGGTAGACTTTTAGGTTAGCTGCCTTGTCGCCGACTCGCAGGGCACTGGCTTCCGCCGTTCGAACGCCAGTCCCTGCATAAGTAGCAGACGACGCTCAACCCTGCTTAGATTGAAACTGTGTGTAAAAACAAGGTTAGCACTTTTTGCGTCTATACCCACTACCCTTCCAAACAAAGCCCGGTGATCTGACCTCACCGCACGCTCTCATCTCGCTTTCTCCCTCAGCTGCTCACCGTATAGGCAGATAAAAAAATCACATATGGAAGCACAACACTACAGTTACAAAAAGCGTATTACACGAAGGGCGTGACCCAGTATACCGCACTGAATTTCAACTTAAAAAACTAATTTCTCATCATTCATTAAAAAAAAAACTCAAAATGAATAGGTTGCCTCTATGATGACCATGACTGTCGATCACATCCTACATTTTTGTTTATCAATTTTGTTAATATCTCATAAAAAACTAGCGTAGAGCGTTCACTTGATAGACCCTTTTCATAAGTCCATGAAGCAACATTGATGGTCGCCATTTCTTGGACACGAAGCAGGTGATTGGATGCGAGTCCTCGCCGAGCGCTGACGTCACACTCGTGTCCAATACATGCTCTGAGTTTGTGATCAAGCAATGGCGGACAGGCGATGGCACGGAGTTTTCAAAATGGTCTAGGGAAACTACAATAGAAAGAAAAAACACTTCAAATACGGGTTTAAGAGGTTCATACACCGAACCTTGGTCTCTTGTAGAGGTGGTCTTGTTTTGCAGAAACTTCGCTCTCCTCAGCAGGTCTTCTCTCTTGGCCTCGCAGAAAAGGCGCTCCTCCCGCAGGCCGTCTAGCTTTTTCTGAAGTCTCGCGACTGGATACGATCGAGTGAGGAAACACAAAACAGTCAGCCAGGAAGAGGCTGAACCCTGCTAAAAACAGCTGCTAAGTAATGCCCACCAAATATGGCACGGTAGGTTTTACCGCACTAAGCTTAATTAAGCCACCGAGTTCATGCACAGCTGGACAATCCATAACGGACAAAAAGAACATATATTCCGCTAAATTGTCTCCAAACAAATCTTAGTAAGATTGCGTGTGTGTGTTTGTGTGTGTGTGCGTGCGTGCGTGTGTGTGTGTGTGTGTGTTTTGCGGTGTATTGCTCATATAGTATCGCAAATTTAAAAGCACAACGTAGGATAAGCAAACAAAAAATACAAATTATTTATTTTTACACGGTGCTTCGGTTTCAAAACTTAAAAGCCCTGACCTGTACCTGGACTTGGGGGTACGTACAGACAAGGGAGCACCGCTATCGTGGCGGTCACGTGGACTCTAAAGAAGTCTGACGAAGTTCATGCGCGTTGTGCGTGCTGTAATAATACCGTCTAGAGTACAAAACCTGAGCAGGGCATAATCGCTTGTGGATGCGTAGGATGCGCGGTGCATAATGATTTGTGGCAAAGATGCTGATGCTCGACGAAACTAAGGCGCAAAGCGCCAGACACGTGCGTCTTGGCGTCGCCATCTGCTAGCATTGCACTTGTGAGATGCCGCAAAACGCTTTGGCAGCGACGCTGACGCAACCTAGGCGGCACTGCATGGATCCTCCGGTGATGACGCATTGGGAAGGAGGAGGCGGGGGGAGGGGGGAGGGAGTGGATGCCTCATGTTTTGTCTCATAGGTTGTATTAACTGCAACGAGAGCAGGCGACGAAGGCGCCACCAATTGTCAGTCTTTTTGAGTCCACGGGATCGCAGCCACAGTTTCGTTTCCTCGTCTGCGACGTAATTCCAAGCTCTCGGTACATAGTAATCGAAAGCGAAACTATAAAGTAGAAATAATAGGATGGCAAAACATTTACAGTGCTTACAATACTTTTATTTTTTTTGTTTTTTTTTTATTGTTTGTAACAACACAAGTGCTGTATTCGGTGAATGGACGAAAGCTGATGTGAGGGTCTCTCAGAATTAAAATAAGTTCTATTCAAAACATTAAGTTTTTCTTCGTCCGGCTTTGAAGACATGTTAAATCTTAACAAGCACCTGAGTAGTACAATTCTTTTCAATCTACTATTTTATCTAACATATAGATTGTGCGATTTCGAAGCGTCCGATTGAGAAAAAAAAACTGATTTTAAAGAGTCATACTGGCAGTCGTCGTTTAGCTAAAAGCTTTTACATCAGCTAAGTTTCTCAGCTGTCGATATTAGATTAATAAGGAGGTTCATTTCAGAATTCTAAGTAAATATCACTGCTACCCTCTTTTTGTTTTACACTTTCAATGTACTACAATCTATTTTAATATATTCTACGACAAACGGCAATTTTTATGGCACTGTGCAGTGTGTCTGGCAATCGCTAAACGTACATTTCTTGCAAAATAAAAATACTAACGCAATTTACAAACTAGATTTTCGAAATTACCGCCAATTGTTTCTGATCAAAAAATAAAGAAAAAGTGTCGCACTCCGCCAAAATCATTTGTGAGTGTAAACAACAAAAAATAACTATAAGTTTTATAACATAGCACTAACCTTACCTCCGAAACTCTCAATTCGAAAATCTGATGGAAAACGTGGGTATTTAAAAAACAAAAACATGCTGCAAAAACTAAAAACGTAACACATACGAGCACACAAACATATACACACCGGCATTCCAAAAGGCCGGAGAAAAAGGACAGACAGGCAAATGACATTAACAGTGGCCTGCACGAAGAGGTGAGCTGTGTTTCAAAGGCCTTACTCTCAACGAGTCCTTGCTCCTCCATGTTAACACTGCGGCTATTCCTCCCCAGGAGGCTTGACCCCTTTTCAGAACTCCCGGGCGTTGTCAGCACAGTCCTGGACCCTCCAGTCTTGTCGAGTGTCTCACCGTCAGATCGAACCCTGCGCATTCCAGTGACACGGGACACTTCGCTCTGTCCAGTCTTCTGTGCGCCCTTAGGTGACGTCTTGAATCGTTGAGGGAAGAGTGACAGTCCCTTTGGTCGTCGAACCTTGTACTTTGCCGTCGCGTCGTTCTTTTGGGTTCGAATCTGGGGCTTGTGAATGACTAAGGGCACTTCGGACACCGTGCCACGACTGCCTCGTCCGCTGCTTGAAGCAGCATCGGTGGATGCCTCTTCCTCGTCACGATTGGAGTCTCGGGTAGGCGGCATCTCGTCGACGGAGATGCCTTCATCAGCAGTTTCGCTTTCGTGGATGTCCTTGGGTGAAATAACATCAGCCCGACTGACCGCTGGTGACGGTGTGGTTGTGCTGGTGCCGTCGACGTATGCGCTATCCTCTTCGGTTCGAGAAGCTTCTTCTGTAGTGGAGGGCTCCTGTCCACTAGGTAAGCCGGTGAGGTTTGTGTTGGCAAACGCTTCTTCATGCGATTCCTGGCTTTCTTTTATGCCTTGTTCAGGGTCGTACAAGCCATCTTCAGCTTTATGTGCTTCCAAGTCTGTAGTCCCGTCTGCATCAGGTTTCGCGGACAAAAGGCGGGGATCTTCATCACTCAAAAAGTTAACACCGTCAGGGTCACCTTCTTTTATTGAAACAGATACTTCATTTCTGTCAATGTCATCTTGTGCAGCACTCTTGGCAGAGGCAGGTCTGGTTATACTCCCATGGTTGTCTTCAACATTATCGATGCCGCTACTACCTTCTCCGATCACAGCAGTGGCTTCATCCCCTTCAGGTTGCGCCTCTGTGTTCTCAATATTGCTGGCAGGGTCTGAAGTCGGGTTTCCACTGGAATCATCCTGATCCTTCAACAGAATGTCGCTGTCAGTATGTTCACTTTGCGCAACGACTTCCCCTTTGTCACTATTGTCTGGTTGATCGTTTGTAGCTGAGTTTTCTAATGAAGGCGAAAGAGCTTCAAGATCATTGCATTGTTCATTATTTGGGAGATTCACTGCATTTTTTTCCTCAGTTTGAGGTTTAAGCTCATCCGGGATTAGAACATCCTCATTCCCATTATTTTCATTGTTATTTGGCACACTGTCCTCTCCAGACTCTGTGTTTTCACCATCATCTACTGCAAGGCGGTCAGGGTTTTTAGAAGTTCTCTCATTCACTTTATATAACATATTCTTGTCTTGAGGCATAACAAGCTCTTCAGCAACACGTTCTTCTAAATGTTCTGCAGAAATATCATCAGCAGTCACTTGGCTTTCGCCAAGAGTCGTGATATTCCCACCATCAGCTAAAGTCTGGCTGCCGCCTTCTTTGGCCACATCCACAATTTCAGGCGATTCATCAGCACCGCTATCAGTCGAATGTTCTGTCGAAGCTATCATATTAGCCAGATATGAAGGCTCCTGGTCCTGAGAGAATGACTTAGCTAACTTATTCTCTTCAGTAACCAAAGAGTCTTCGGCGCCTGTCGTGTCCGCGTCAGTTTCCACTTGCTCGCCTCCTATGCCTACATTTGTTCCTGCCAAGTCTTTTGTATTTTTGTTTTGAGCTGCCTCGCCTTCAGAAGCAACTATGTTTGTATCCTCGTCATTGTGATTTCCTGTTCTCAAATTTTTATCCTCTTGGTCACCATCGCTGGAAGCAAGCTCAATCTGATCAGCAGCAGCATTATTGGTTTCCGCGTCGTCAGTGCCAAAAGAAATTCTGTCGTCGCAAAAGACGCCCTTCTCTACATCTTCTTTTGGAGATGTTTCGGAGTGTAAATCATCAGAAACTACTGCTTCTGGTTGAGATACCTGTTCATCTGTTATTGTATCTGTAAAATTTCTCACGTCGACATGTGTTGGTGAACCGCTTGTAGGATCGAGTTGTTCAGTAAAATTCTGGGTAGGAGCGATTGAATCGTTTAGAGATGGTGTTTCGTCAGCGTTACTGCCGAGATTTCGTGGCTCCTCTGCATTGACTGAACTTTCCAAATCATTTTTATCTTTAGAAGAAGACTCTTCATTATGAGGGTCTAGCTTATCATCTGAAGAAATGCCTCTCTCTAGTTCTTCCTTGCCTTCATCTTCGTTATCTATGATATTTGTATCCATTACTACTATTCCGTCGCTTGTGAATTGAGAATCTTCTGCTTTCTGAACATTTTGATGAGTTATGTCTTCCTCAGCAGGGGTTCCAACCCGATTTTTCTCCTGGCCGTCAGAATCTTCTAAATTGGGCGTTGTCATATCGTCGTGTTGTTTGAGTTCTGCATCTGTTACTTGAATTTGGTCTTCGGCAGATCCACCTTGTACTTCACTGGTTTTATTTTCGTGTGAATTCTCAGCATCATTCTTCTGAACGGCACTTTGATCATCAACATCATCCAAAACGGTAGTAACATTTTTATGTGTCGCCTCATGTCCATCTTCGGCATCCAACATCGCAGGCTGCTCCTCAACTAAACCAGTAGGCTCGTCTCCTGGTGCTTCATCGTTTTCGGCGTCAGGACCTGTTTCTCCAATACCCACTGCAGCAGGATCATTCTCATCTTCGTTCAGCATTATGTCATCTTCGGATCTACTCTCGCTTTTCTCAAGAGTACGACCAGCAGCTTCTGGAAATCCCGATGAACCTTGCAGCTCCGCTACTGAAGATTCTATTTCACTTTCTTTGAAAACGTTAGCTTCCCCGGAATTATTTTCGTTATCCTTAACAGGCTTTGCCGAATCACCCAGGGCTTGTGACGCACTGTGCGACCTCACAGCTTCATCTTCAGAGCGTTCGTCATCAGCCGAAAGATTTCCAGCAGCGCTCTCTCCAGTAGTGGTCTCCAGACTGCTCTGCTTGACGTCCTGACCCTCATCTGCAGCCTCTACTTCAATATTCCCCTCCCCTGCATCTTCTCTATCGATGTGGTTATTTGAACCGCCGCCTTCAACATTACCGCTTTCTGTTCCAGGGGCTGTCTCAGAAAGCCCATCCGCTACAACACTCCCTGTGGCCGCAACCAATCGCTGAACACTAGGAATAGAAGCGCCCTCTCTCTCAGTTAACCCAACACCACCCTTCGTGTTTCCCACCGAATGTTGACCTCTAGACTTTTGACTAGCACCACCACCGTCGCCCTTCGACGACCCATGTCCTTTCAGAAGGGCCCCATCACTACCAGGATCAAGCGTTTGAGTACCCGAATCACCAAGCTCTGTCACAAACACTTCCACCTCAAGTTTTTCGTTCTTCGACAGCCTCTTAGCCGTGTCGCTCTTCCGATAGCTCTCAGTCACCCTCTTCGCAGTGTCCACGACTCCAACACTTCTTCGAGAAGAATCTAGGTGTCTCTTGTGGCCGCGGTCGCCTCGGACATACTCCTTGATCTCGTCTACCTCAGTCCTGACCGCAGCAGAGTCTTGACCAGAGGGTCGTCCTGGTAAAAGACGGACCTTGGCCTTCTCGATAACCACGTCCTTGCCACCGCGGCCCGTAGCCCTGCGGCTCATGCCGGCCAAGCTCGTTGTGTCGCCCTGGCCGGCTTTAGCACCAGATACCCGCGTTCCGCCCTGATACTTACTTCTTCTGGTACCTTTGTCACCTTTCTTCTTTGACTTCCGGTCGTACCCGGTGGCGGCGTTCGCGACTTCGTTACCTACCGACGCGACTCCACTTTCGTCGGCTACCTTGTTTTCTGGTTCAGACGCGAGTTTGTCACCGGGCTCTAGCCCAGGTTCACCGTCGGCATCTCCGCTATCAATAACGCCAGAAAGTAACGCGCTTTCCTGGTTTTCGGCTCCGACTTCGACTTTGTTCGAATCTTCTAGCCGTTCGTCTTGATTCGCGGATTCCTGCGTCTCCCTCTCTACTTCCGGTTCGACTAGTGGTTCGACTTCTGGTTCAGTAACGTCAGGTTCGACTTCCGCTTTGTCTTCGGATCCGGCGTCGCGATTGGTCGTTCGGCTCGATGCCGATTCGTCGCGACTGCGTCTCTTCGCTTGTGCGCTCTCCCCTTCGATATCCTGCGGACCCCCACTCTCCGGTTGCTCTTTGAGTCTGAAAGGAAATCAGTCAGTGATCGTTATAAGTCAACTGCAAAATATCACGCCTTTACTCTGACTTAAAAAGATAATTCTACGTAGATAACGTTTAGTAACAGTTAGGCATGTGCAAGACTCTGCTTCCAGCAGTACGAGAAAGAGTTCTTATAAAAATGTAGAATCTTAAAGGGTAACTGCAAAGAAAAAAAAGTTTTTTTTTAAACAGCCTAATTGGGACAAGCATGTCACAAAACAAATGTTCCGCGAAAGAAATGATTTTTTTTATCAATATTTACGCCACAGGACGTAATTTAGTAGAGTGAGAACCTCTCCACGTTTGAAACTCCCGCTCTTTCGACCCCCGCGGAAGAGGAGTACGCCCCGCCCCTCACTCTCCTTGCGTTGCGGAGTTGAACCGTTGAACGACGCAGCGTCTCGACTTCCGGCAAGATCTGGCAACTACGCCAGGCCGCGGTATTGTTTTGGTTGTTTTGGTTTGACGCGGTTTGCGAGCACATGTAGCGAAGCCGTGACCGGAGAAGTGCCCCTGTGATGTTCCCGGAAGACGGAAGGTATCGTTCGTAATCGTCGTGCGCGCTTTGAAAGCGAAGGGAGTCACAGAATCCACGAGTGCGCAACCACAAGCCAAGGTTCACGACAGCGCTGCGTTGGTTTCGGCGATCTCGTTCTGTTTGGTGTAACACGGCGATGCGACAGTGCTGAAACGTTTGTGCTGTGTGTAATGCGGTGCTAACACGGAGCGCAAATTGGTTGTTGTGGGGTTGACGTTCAACCAGATAAGTCCCGTCGTCGTCAGCTGATCCAGTCAAACTGGTCCGGGAGGACGCTGGGAGCGTTTTTAAAAGTAAATCTGCCTCGTTGTTTCAAAATGTGGAAGTTTCCCGACGGATACCGTGAGTAAAAAGCTGCGGGCGTTTTCAACAAAATTACGTCGTTTTAATTGAACAATGGACTCCGAATTGTTGTCCTAAATCTGCCGTTTTTATGCTTCGTGTTGGACTGCGTTTGCACAGCGACGTGTTGCATCGTGCGGTGTGAATAAATTTGGGCACGATTTCGTACCTGCCTACAGATCCATGAACTGAGACCATTTTTACGTAGTGGACATAGTGCTTTTTTATTTTCTCTTTTGTCGCGGACGTTAGGTGCACACGGGGCGAATCTCGACGGCCTCCAGAGCGATATGACGAGAACGTAACTAGACACGTTGGTCGCTACGCGAACGCCCGATTGCCTCCAGCCCAATAGCATTCCTTTCGGGGCGACATGGCTGCTGGAAGGCTCACTGTCGGGATCACGCATCTGACATCTCAGAAAAGTCAGCATTTGCACGCGCAAACAAGCAAAACAAACAACAAAAAAAAAAAGCACGCTAAGCAAGCAAAGAGGAAAACTAAAGAACCGCGCTATGAAAGCCAAAACCCCGCGTCGCTTCCTATATATCACTACCACCTGCGACAGCTGCTAAACACACACTACTTCACTTCAAGAAGTACCTGGGTCAGCACGAAACGACGAAACACTGATCACTTCGGCGAAACGATTAGTCGAGGTAGGCGAGACAGGCGGGAGCAGAGACTTTGGCGGCCATGAAAGAATGGCGAAGCCGCGAAGCTTTTGTTTGTATGAATCCAAACGGAAGTGCCCGTCTTGTAAACCTTTTGTAAAGAATAATAACTCTCAACACATGGGTTATTCTTTAAACGTAAAAATATGCCGCTCAAAAGGAAATTGCAACATATAACAAAGGTTTAACAACCAAGATCTAAGCTGTCAATCAAACTCTTAGCCAATGAGAACCTTTTGGGATTGACGTCACATAATCACAACTTCGTGGCGCGCGATTTAAAACGGACGAAATAGCCGCAAACTAAAACGAGTCTCACGCAATAAATATTTCTGTAAAAAATGTTTTTTCTCGCGGAAAAATTGTTTTTTGACATGCTTGTCCCAATTAGGCTATTAAAAAAAAAACATTTTTTTCTTTGCAGTTACCCTTTAAAGCAGGGGGCTCCAATGCCTATGCTCCCCTGACCAGCTTGGGGCATCTCACTGCGCATGCGTAGAATGCTTGCGCAATACGAGGCCCCAAGCTGCTCGGGGGACCCAAAGCGCTGGGGCTTGCTATTGTAAAACTCTCTAATTGGCGTTACAATCCAAAGTTGTGACGTAACGAAATAAATTTCATTCACATGTGACGCACGCTTGGCCAAAGAAAAGAATATCACACCCCGAAAGTGATACGTCATCTGCAGAACATTAGGGTTCCCATGACACTTGAACTAAGGTTGCAGATCAACATCGTTTACCAACAGTTACGCATACGTAGGACTGCTTTCGGCAGTACCACAGAGAATTTTTCAACCGAAGTCCCTACAAACGAAAGTCGTGACATCACAGAGTACATTTAATACATATGTAATGCAGGACTGGCCTGGAAGTAAATCGCAAGCTGTCAGTAATATGTTAACTGCAAAACACAGTGGTTTTGATGACGCTTTAAACAAATTTTCAGATTAACATCGTTCATTAGCACTTAAGCAGGCGCAAAAACTGGTTTTGACGGTACCTCTTAGCAAAACCCCGACAAACTAAAGTCGCAATAACCGAACGTCACACCATCAGAAAGCAAAGTTTACATGAGCCAGGATTCCAAATGGTGTTTGCTCCAAATGTTCCAAATACATTTTTTTTCTAGCGATTCCCGTAAAGATGCTGGCCCGTGACACCTCAAATTTTCGCACTAAGGTCTTCTGCTCTTGAAGGTGACGACTACGATGGCCTCTAAAGTCACCTCTAAATAGCGCACCCAGCGTCGTGCCCGGCTACTAAAATATGATTGAACGTGGCCTTCACTTTTTTCAGTGCCAAAGTACATCTGAGTGCTGCAGATTCGGGACGCTTTCCTTTAGCAACAGGTGTAATCACCGACAGCTTATAAAACAAAGGTTCTGGCTTATTATGTTGACGCTTCCTGGTTCGTGGTTGGTTCTTCACGTTCGTATCGGCCAATGAAGCCATCTGATTGGCCGCGAAGAGACGATAAGGTGCTCGGTTGTCGCCACGCTCTGCACTTTTTAAGCTCTCGGTGACTCTCGTCGGGCAAAACTCGAACACGTCGTGAATCACCGTAAGTACTCAGTCTGGAAAATGGCTGTGTTGGCGGTAACGCGTTACAAGTAACGGCGTTACGGGTAACGTGTTACTTACTCGTTACTTTTCCAAAACAGTAACGGGTAACGTACTCAGCATGATTTATTTCGAGAAACGGCTAACGTGGTTATGTTACTCGTCACAGCTTTTTCCCACAACTTAATAAAAGAAGTGCGCTTCATGTTTATTTTCTGCATTTTTAGGCGCCAAGTCACACATTTTTTGCACTCGAACCTTATAAATTCAACATCTTGCCTCATTATTCTCCCGCAAACACTCACACGTCCTTAAAATATCGCGCTTATGCCGACATCGAAAGTAAAACCCGTAAAGCGTTTTAATTCTTAAATAAAAAGCAACACAAAAGTGTCGTGTCTTCCTTTTAACCGTAACGTTAACTGTAACGCGTTCCTTTTGCGTTTTGAGGTAGCGTAGGTCGGTAACGCGTTTCTTTTATTTGAAAGTAACGAGAAACATATTTCGACACTTTTTTTTTTTTTTGGTAACACCTACAACGCTGAAGAAACGTAACGTGACAACTGCACGATTTCACCCTCGTCACGTTGAACGAGTATTCATCAGTTAGTCTAAAAGCGGCCACTGATTTATTATATGACCCGAGATAAAATTTTAAGAAAACCAATGACAAATGTAAGGAAACTGCCCACGCCATGCACGTTGCCATAGAAATTGTCGTATGTGCCGGTGAGCTTCCTGAAGCGATAGCTTTTCCAGTCCACTAAGCCACGAAAATGTTTGTCTGACAGTGTCTCTAATCACTATTCACATATTTCCCTAAACAGATGCAATATGCTTGTGACAGTGACACTTTCCTATGTTCCTACTGATATTCAAATAAAAAGATATATATATATATATATATATCGGACGCCAGGCGATCGCCGAGTGCAAATCGGAAATTTCTGCGCAAAAAAGGGGGACTGGCATAATCCATGCCTATTTATGTTTGCTTTTTCTACGCCAGAAAAATTAATATTTCTTGGGTAACAACACGGCCACAAGCAATGCGGTGTTCTGTCAATTTAAACAACTCCTCGAACAAGCTATATTTAAAAATTGATAACCTAATTTTTTTAAATGGCCACCTACAAAGAAATGCCGAATTAGCGCTGCGCTAAAGCAAGGTTTGAGCGCCCATATACAAAATAGCTAACCAAAAACACAGCCACGTATTTTGTTGGTCTACTGCTGTCACAAATAACCAAACCTGCCTTCCAGCGTCACCATGAAATAACTAGAGTAATAAACCTTCGCATATGTTACTATAGTTCTATGGAGATTAGGGTTCAGGTTTAGCAGAGCTCGTAGATCATTGCTCCAAAGTTAGTTTAAATGTCTAGAATACCAAATGGTAAGTTTTCAACCTCTATCAACAAAAGATTCGCGTACTTTTCGAGAGCGATCAGATCAAACATTTATAATCACTGACGTCCATTCACGCAGCTCAGCGTAATTTTCAATCTAAGCTATGCAAACGCAAAGCAATATCAAAGTGATCTCGCTGAATGACATAGGCGCTAGGAACTTTGACCATATCAACAAACTTTCTATGTGTACAGTCTGCCCTCATTGCGGGCCCTCATTCATCAAGGTTTAGTTATAATCCCACTCGACCTGAGTACTTTTCAAATGACGAGCATGAGATAAAAATATCCAAGGTTCTTTTAACCCCTCAAATGAAGTCCTGTTGTTCTTCGTTAACATCACGTGCTCATTGTCTAATATAGAGTGAAAGAAAAAAATTAGAGAAGTTTACAAATCGTTGTAATGCGAAACTAGAGCGCGGCACTTGAGGAGGAGGAGGTGGGGAGGGTACGGAGG